GCGTCCCCCCCCCCAGTATAATTAGACCGCTCGGTCATCCTGACTACTTAAGAAAGGGGGTTTCTTTTTTCACTTGCCATGCCTCGCCCCTCTCGCGGGCTGGTGTTCTTACCTGGCTGGTATGTGTCTTTGAACTTTAAAAATGCCTCTTGCTCCCCTAAATGGAGGAGCGTGTGCAGAAGCCAGCTAAAATTTTCTTTTGTCGCTCTACCCACTTTCTTCTCTGATGCCGTTCACCACTGCCTGCCACGTGGGCCTTGGAAGCTTGCGCAGAAGAGAATGTGGACCTCGGGCTGAAAAAAAATATCCCCCACTCCTGCACTGTGTGATTCTAATAAGTATTTTACATCAAGTTAAGACGAAGTGGGTGTAAAAAACGAAGTTGGCAGCGGTGGGATTCGAACCCACGCCCCCGAAGAGACTGGAGCCTTAATCCAGCGCCTTAGACCGCTCGGCCACGCTACCTCCGCTGTATGGGTTTACGGGGAATAGTGTGAACAATGCTTTCCCACCTCCTCTTTCCTGTTGTACAGTATTTTCGTTTCGCCTATTTATTTAATCAATCCGCTGATTGCTGAAGGTTGCTTGCATGAAGCACAACTACATGATGATCAGTTGCACTATTAACTGATTGCTCTAGTGATGAGATACTGAAAAGGTTTCAGCATCTTGAGGCTATGAATCAGCGGGGTTAAGCGAGAGACCCTCGCTCCTGGAATTAAAAAATAAAGGGAGCTGCGTCTGAAACTCCCAGAGAGTTGTTGGCAAGCTCTACAGCACGCCATGGGCGGGGGGGGGGGGCATCCCTAAATCAAGCAAATCAATAAAAAGACTTAACTAAATGAGGTTTTGTCCCCCGCAACATAAAGCCTGCCCCACACCCCAAAATCCTGCCTACGCCAATACCGCGCGCCAAAGCAGCATCAGGAACAGGAAGGGGACGGTGGAGGCAGAGAGGAAGCAGGCTGAAGTCGCGCGGGAAATTCAAATACTACAGCGTGCGGGGAAGAGAAGGAACTTTTGTTGTCCTCAGCCAATCAGGAAAGAGCGAACTGCCTATAAATACCTATCAAATGACCTCAACCCTTTCCAGCCCTTCCTTCTCCAGAGACCTGTTTCAGGGACCGGTTTCGTAAGGGCGAGAGGGCCCGCACGAAGCATCATTCCACACTATCACACTATATATGGGCAGCGTGGAGTTTGTATAGTATTCAGTGTAGCAAAAGTGGAGATGTCCACATGTTGCTGGACCATGTGGAGGTTGATAGGAGTTGTAGTACCAATCTGGAGGGGAGGGCACCAGATTACATTCCTTAGGCACAACAAACATTAAAAAGGGCTATTTTACTTGGCAACAGTGTAAACCAGCATCTTTATATGAATCTCTAGGTGGCTCTTAAAAGAGGCATTAGGGTTAGCTAAGAAACTCCCTAAAAGCATTCACTTCCTTTTAGGCACTACCCTTTTCAGCTTTGCCATCTTGGCTTTGGGCATTTTAGGCTCAACTGCCTCAACTTTAGCCTGGCTCTTAGTGGCAACTTTCTTGGCTTGGGAAGCCTTGGGCTTCTTTACTGCTTTCTTGGGGCTTCCCTTGACTGGCTTAGCCACTCCTGTAGGCTTCTGGGCCACTGCCTTTTTCTTGCCCTCCAAGGTGGAGGCCTGGTCCTTGCTGAGCCTGAAGGAGCCCAAGGTGCCTGTGCTGCTGCTCTGCACCAGCATCCCCTGGCTCATCAGGTTCTTGAAGCAGCTGTTCTTGTCCACATCGTAGCTGCCTGCCACCAGCACCTTCTGGAGGGCAGTCTGTGGCAATCTGCAGGTCGAAGCCACCTGGACCAGCAGCTCCATCATGCTGGGGCTGGAGGGCTTAGAGGCACCCCCCGACACTGCTTCTTGCCCTGCATTAGGCCACAAATTCATTCAGCCCAGTTACGCTTAACTGCCCATATCCGAGATGAAGCCAAAGAGCTGAGACTGGCCTATCTGACACCAGGTTGACTCGTCCAAGCAAAACCGTTCCCCACTGAGATGGTCAGTCTGTCAGCAGTGCAGTCAATGTGGGTTTGAAAAGTGCCAGTCTCACTGTCAAAATGCACCAAACTCTTGGTCTGTTTGCAAAGAATTAAATGCTTGGTGACAGTGATTCAGTGCAGCAATATTTTGCAAGGTTGGACACAAAGACAATTCCTTGCCTCCCTCCATAACTCTCTGACATGACCTTGCAGAAGCCCTCTCTCTGCTATCAAACATATATTTCTCTTCCCTCTTTCTTAATTGACCTGGAAACTTTCTCCCTCTCTTCCTACCATGTTTCCCAATTTCACCTTTACCCCAGTCACTTCCAGTTGCCCTCTCCCTAATTCCTCCTCCTCTCCAGCTCTCTTCATCACCAGAGCACTGAAATTGTCTCTTACACATGTACACCTCCCTCCAAGATTCCACTTCACTCCTCCAAATGCCCCCTTTACCCTAGTTAGTTCCACCTGCCCCTTCCTCAGTTCCTGCTCTCTCTGCTGCCCCATCACAACTATCATATACAGAGACTTACTTTAGCCCCACCAGGACTTCAATTAACATTGCCATTTACCACAGACATGAACCCCTCTCTTCTCTCCTTCCCAGCCCGCACCACCATGGGTGATGCCATCCTTGCTCTGCCAGGAACCTTCTCTAAACAGACAGGATCCCAACATGTCTGCCTGCTCTTTCCAGTACTCCACCTTCTGCCATGGTGCCTGGCTGTCTCCTGCCTGCTTTTCTCTGCCCTGATAACTTAACTTGCCCTAACCTGCTCCTCTTCTTTCTAGTCATCATGCTGTCTTCTCAAGGCAACCTCTCCTTGCCCTAGAGCTTTAGGAAACAGCCGACAAAAACAACACGATGACAGACTAGTGAACATATAATACAGAAAGATATTCCAATCACAGCATCATCAGTGCACTGACATGATCGCAGTATACTGGCCTGGCCTTCATATACTGGCCCAGGCCAGTACACTCCTCCTAAGTTCTTATGTTGCTTTAGTAAATTATATATACAAAAAGATACTGCCTTGCCTTCCAACCAATCCTAATATCCAGTAATACCTAACATTTGTATACCGCTTTCAAGCACTGAAAGCACTTCATGCACATTATACAGCAATAATCCTTATAAAACCCATGTAAAGGTTACTATGCAAGGCTATGTCAATAGTGTATTATTATTTGTGGGAATGTTGTGGGTAGCAGGAGAGGATATATTGATTAAATATTATCCTTCCTAACTCATGCTAGTGAGTTTATTCATACAGCAGAGTACATTCCCCTCTTTACACAGCAGGAAGCTAGTTGGTAGATTTGTTTGAATCTCTTTACTTAAGCTTCTTGTGTCTTTATTCTCTTTAGGAGGGATGAAAGGGGACTTACCAGGAACCAAACCCCATCTGAACAAAGCCAGATTGGATTGCTTCTTTTAAAAGTAATAAGAAGTTTACTCACATTCAGTTCACAGTAGGATCCCTGAAGGCAGGCTTTAGCTTAGAGTTACAGTTACAGAAAAGGGTTTGAGTTCATCCCATGAGAATGAGCCCATGTCCTTCCTCATAGCTGAGAGCCACCAGGCAGCAAAATACATCAGTATCAAGAAAGCATGGCATCAGGAGTGTTACAGAAAAATCTAGGTGTGAGGCTGCTCAGTCACCCAGCTCATTGGGCAGAGCCCGCAGGCCCCTGCGAAATAAAGGAAGGAGTCCAGCCACCAACCAGAGCAAATAGCTGTAGACCAAAGTTTATTGCGCAACAGGTTCAAAGAGGAATTTTGAACCCCGAGGATGGGGTGACAATGACTTTTAAAACTTTCCCGCCATATCCCAGAATACAGTTCATACAGCAGTTCATTACTACATCACTGACATGCCACAAAAGAGGAGGGGTAGACAGGGGTTACACTAGTTTAACTTTGGCAAACATGTCCAGACAAGTCCTTGGTACAGGATTAGCATAAGCAGACATGTCAGGGCAAGACCCAGGTATAAGATTAGCATAGGCAAACACCTCTGAAGTCCCACCACCCAAAGTACTCCTTTGCATGTTTGGAGCCTGAGGCAAGTCTGGTGGTGAGATTTGGATTCCCTTGGAGAACAATGAGCCCAGCAATTGTTACCGCTGGGCCTTTCCTAGGGTAGGAGGTGTGTATACATGTCTTCGAGCTTGGGGAGGTGGCAGGGGAAAGAGTCCTTTTTCCAAGGGCTAAATGGTGTTGGAATGGAGGAACTTGGCAAAGGTGTTGATTTTATATGATTCATAAAGCTATATTTCCTGAGCTGTCAAGTCGAAAGGATACATTAAGGCATAATATTTGTAACTGTTAACAACTTTAAAGATGTGCCCCCCCCGCCCGTAATTTCCACAACAAGAGGAAGAAGAGTCAAGAGAGGGAGATGGCTGCGTGACTGGCCCATTTTGTGGGGTCTGCAAGGGTCACGCCCACCTACCTGGTGACATGCAAAGGAAGGATGCTCCAGACCCAGGTGTAACAGGAAGTTCAACTGGCTGGACCAACATCCCCCTGCATGTCTACTCTAGCCATCGGGAAATGTTGTACAGTGGTACCTTGGGTTACATACGCTTCAGGTTACCGTTACATACGCTTCAGGTTACAGACTCTGCTAACCCAGAAATAGTGCTTCAGGTTAAGAACTTTGCTTCAGGATGAGAACAGAAATTGTGCTCCTGCAGTGCAGCGGCAGCAGGAGGCCCCATTAGCTAAAGTGGTGCTTCAGGTTAAGAACAGTTTCAGGTTAAGTATGGACCTCCGGAACGAATTAAGTACTTAACCCGAGGTACCACTGTATTTGACTGCTTATATTACATCCCACATTATTCCCCCATATTTCCTATATGGGGCTGTGGTTAAGAAACAGTGGCTTCCTTGCCCAGCTAGATATGTTCACGACAGAGGCAAAACTCAAGGGACGTCCTTAGTCCTACTTCACACTCTTACACCAGTTTGAACTTAGATATCATAGCCTAAAATGGATTTGGGGATGGAGAGATGGAAGGGAGGTAAGAATGTGGGAAAATGAATATACTCTTATTTTAAAGCTTAGTTGCAGTTGGGAATAAGGCAACAGAAGTAAACAGAATCTTTAAGATCCACATTTACTTCTTAAGACCAGGAGAGGAGACTCCTGGATCAAGCTAATGGCCCACCTTCGTAATTATTTCTGGAATTAAGTATTGCTTACCTATTCACCTGTGCTAAAAACAAGCAAGCAAGCAAGCAAGCAGTCCAACCCTTTTCATTTTCTTAACTATATTCTCAAAATGTGCATTAAAATACTGGTTTTTACTGAAAGCCGAAACATTATCAAAGATGGGGAGGGGAGAGAAAAAGCTACGGCTATCTCCCCGTCGGGGAATCGAACCCCGGTCTCCCGCGTGACAGGCGGGGATACTCACCACTATACTAACGAGGAGAAAGCTGAAAAGACTTGCCATCTCAAAAGGCTCTAATAGATAAAAAAAATCGAACTCGGTTCACATGTTTCTCTGTGTTTTTTTCTTTGTGGGGAAGAAAGTCGGCAGCAGAAACATGTAAAATCCCTGTCCTTTGAAAACAGTTATTAAGGACGTGCAAATATATATAAGCCATATTCAGCGTATCACATACCTTAGGGCTTAAAATTAGGGATATGACCCCTTCCTAGACATTTTTTTATTATCTATTTTCATACATTTATGTCCTGTCTTCTATTATCGCAACCAAAGTGGTCCCCAGGCAGCCCCCTCCTCCATCAGTGCCAAAATCCGGACGTGCTTATTTATTTGTTATTAAATTTATACCCCACTTTTCCTCTAATAACCTCAAGGTCATGTACATGTTTCTGTTCACAACAGCCCTGTTAGGTTAAGTGGCGGTAACACAGTGAGCTTGAGGAGCGGGTATTTGAAACCCTGGTCTCTCTAGGCCTTGTCCAATATGATGCCAGTCCTCCTTATAACCGAACACTGATTTAATGCGTTCTCAAAATACCAAAGTTTGCCTATTAGGACAGCTGGAGGATTTAGAGAGCTCAACATACTTTTCCAGCACACCACAGCTTCGAGCCTTCCTTATAGAAATGTTATAAGCAAAGATAGAAAAGGTAGGAAAGGGAGTTGGGTTGTAGAGTCCTGATTAAAAAAAAACAAAAACGAAGTCCCGCACTCTCGGAAAAAGAGCAGCTATTGCGTTGGCCGGGAATCGAACCCGGGTCAACTGCTTGGAAGGCAGCTATGCTCACCACTATACCACCAACGCTTATATTAAAAGGTTTCTGGAGAGCATCTTTACGCATCATTCCTTTAAATGCCTCTTTGGAGGAAAGGAATATGGCATGTCAAAACGCTATTGACACAGTAGGTGGCGCTATTCTCTCCGAAACCTAAATTCAAATACAGTATTACAGGTGTGTTCAGCTGCAATTAGTTTAGCTCTCTCTCGGCATATATTTACATTTCATGTGTCACATACAAGTTAATCATCATTACAATGACTGAATCCACGCCATGAAGTGGGATAATTGTTAAGAAAATCTAATCTCAGTGGAATGCAGAACTTATTTTTTAAAAACTTGCTATTCCTGAATGGCAGCATTGCACAAATCTTAATGTAGCAATACTAATTTAAATCTTCTCAGCTTAGAAGAGGCGGCTTTTAAAAAGAGAGAAAGAGGTAGTATATCAAGCAAACTAACTGGTGCAGACACAATCAGTAGTAGAAGAAAAAATGCTCTGATATGATTATTAAATATGGATGCAGGTAATTTTAAAAATATTATATTTTGAACGTAGTCGGCAGGATTCGAACCTGCGCGGGGAGACCCCAAT